GCTCATTCTGCTACTCAGTACGTTGACGGTTTGAAAGCAGCGTTGATTGTCCAAGATCCAGCCGATCCTTGGATATCTAAATATGATTCGGAATTCGTTCTCCAAGTTTGTGACTGGTTTCATGAACCTGCAGAAACTCTTGAAGCAACAGTTTATGCCAATGATTTGCACACAGGTGATCCTGTACCAGATTCAGCGTTGTTTAATGCCCATGGACCCGGAAACTGTAACTTACGGGGAACTAAAGATAATCCGGAGGGATTTGCTTGCACTTTTACAAAAATTCCAATTACTTCAGGGAAACGACTACGAATAAGAATAATAAACACATCGGCACAGTCCGTATTTATATTTGTTTGTCACGATCACACCCTTCAAATCATTGAAGCAGATGGAACCCCGTTGGATGGGACAAAAATTCAAGATTCTGTGAGGCTCAATGCTGCCCAACGCTATTCAGTTATTATAGAAGGCAAAACGAATCCAACTCAAAATTATTGGTGCAGCGCCACAATGATTAAGGCTGCCAATATTTTATTTGCAGCAGTTCCAAATCCGACCGCCTATGGGATTTTGGCCTATTCGAATCTTCCAAAAGGTACATATCCGCCTCCTGAACAAATAGGTGACGCAAATGACACTCAAATTATCCTTAAATCAACCACTCAGAGCATCAATTACATCGACGAACGCGGTTTACATCCTTTTGATACAAACGATAAACCTCCAGCAGTGGCGAATAGAACAATAGTTCTGAACATTACATTTCTTGTGGTTACACCCACTTCTGCTCAGGCGGCATTCCAGGGTAAAGGTGTTCCAGGGTTCTATCAACATTTGGCCACTTCAACTTTATTTTCATACGCACAACACAATATAACACTTCCAAAGTACGCCAATGCTATCCACGTCAAGAAGGGTGAAGCTGTCGATATAGTTTTCAACTGTGAACGTGGCCAACATCCACTTCACATGCATGGTCATGATTTCTATGTTATTTCCGATTCAAAACAGTTCGCGGGTAACTTCAACGCATCAAGTAAGCTTAACTTGAAAAATCCCGTTCGCCGAGATACATTCACGGTTCAGTCGGAGAGTAATGCGGTCATACGGTTTGTCGCGAATAATCCTGGTGTATGGATTTTTCATTGTCACATTGATTGGCATTTAGCTGGTGGAATGGCCCTGACAATCGCCTATCCCGACAAGGAAATTCAAAAGCTATATCCATTAAAAACCATCATGAAAAAGAAGAAAAATGGACACAAGGCAACCAAAGCATTAGAAGGAGTGACAAAATGTCCGACTTAACAGACATATTCGCAGAACTAAATTCGACATCCACGTACAAGTTAGATGCCGCAAATAAGCAGACAATAATACTATTTCTAGTAGATAAGAGGTTTTACTCGTTCGTTTCTTCTGCCATTATTTATGGGAAGTTCTTATTGTTCTTCTGTTCATTTTTCTAAATAAAAGTAGAAACCATATATTGTAAAATGGATACATGTGGAACGTGAGTCAGATCCCTCTCACCTTCCAATTAAATAGATAAACATTGAAAATAAGAAAACGCGAGCAGATCCATCGAGGAAAACAATCTCTAGCACACTCATCCAGTTATGTACAAACTCAATGGCAGAACATCTATACTGAAATGGGGACAAACTAGCGACAGATCGTATGAGCAAGACCCTTTCAGTTAGTCACTCGACAAGACGTGAAGTTACCAAGGATTTAGAAATACAGTCAGGAATCCACCAAGACAACACGAGTGACGGAAAGGCACAAGACGTTTAAGAAAGGTTATCGATCTTTAACAAAGTTCACTGAAGCATGGCATAGGTACAAGCCATATAAGAAAGTTTTCTCAGAATTTACGTATCAGTTAAGTATCCAGTTTCGCTAAATGCCACTACATTCCTTGAAAACTTACTAATACTTCAAATGCATAAAGACAGCTCGGTTTCGAGAAATTTCACTTGCCCATCATATCACCCAAAAGCTAAGACAGTCAGTGTAAATATTTATTTCTCAGCGTCGATACATAATGCCAGGTATTTTGAGAATTTATCGTTTATGGCTGGCAGCCAACAGCTCTTTGGATTTTCGATTATTACTAACGTTTCCTTAATCCTACAAGATTCATAATGACTAAGGACACTTTTATTCGTGTATTCCTTCTCTCCTATAGCTAACTGATTGGCTTCATTCAACTGTGACGGTATCCTTCGGCTTCTTATTATCTGTCTGTTGATCAAATGTTTTATGAGAGAAGAAAATGAAACAAAGAAGCAAAAGCACAGCTATTCAATATAAAAGTTGTTGTAGCTATTAAATATAAAAGTTGTTCTTTTGACAGAGAAATAACATTCTAGACCAATTGGGCCCAAGCCATATTGAGATTGATTCAGCAGACTTTTATTCGTGTGTTCAATCTCTCTTGTAGCTAATTGATTGGTTTCATTCAACTGTGACATCCTTCGGCTTCTTATTATCCGTCTGTTGATCGAATGTTTTATGAGAGAAGAAAATGAAACAAAGAAGTAAAAGCGCAGTTATTCCTAGAGAATCGGAGAATAATAAGCCGAAGGATACCGTCACAGTTGAATGAAACCCATCAGCTAGCTATAAGAGAGAAGGAATATACAAATAAAGTGTCCTTAGCCATTATGAATCTTGTAGGATTAAGGAAACGTTAGTAATAATCGAAAAGACAAAGTGGGATCTGTTGGCTGCCAGCCACAAACGATAAATTCTCAAAATACCTGGCATTATGTATCGACGCTGAGAAATAAATATTCACACTGACTGCGTCAGTTTTGGTTGATATGATGGGCAAGTGAAATTTCTCGAAACCGAGCTGTCTTTATGCATTTGAAGTATTAGTAAGTTTTCAAGGAATGTAGTAGCGATTATCGGAATTCGACATCCGCGTTAGAAAGAAGAATTGGGGCGGGACGATTTGGTGATCGGCTTTTCCATCTAAGAAGCGTTTAGCGCTAAATGACGCGTAATGGCTAACAAAGTTTTGCTAAAAATCGATAATCTTTATTAAACGTCTTGTGCCTTTCCGTCACTCGTGTTGTCTTGGTGGATTCCTGACTGTATTTCTAAATCCTTGGTGACTTCACGTCTTGTCGAGTGACTAACTGAAAGGGTCTTGCTCATACGATCTGTCGCTAGTTTGTCCCCATTTCAGTATAGATGTTCTGCCATTGAGTTTGTACATAACTGGATGAGTGTGCTAG